AATCGGACTTAGCGTAATACTAGAATTGCAAAATGATCTACATGAAATCTACTAAATAAATCGAACACAGTGAATAATCATTTTGCCGTTCACACTCTTTCCACCAGAATGAAAGACCGTGACGGCATCTTCCGTGACAAATGTCGCACCCAGAAATGCGCTTGCGAGGAGTTCGCGCCTAAACAAGAGGATGACTTGAGCTGTGACGTGTGTGGTCATCACCCTGCTGTGCATGCCCAGGTAACGATTTTGTGACTTGGGACATAGAGTGTGTACACAGGGAGAGTAGATGGAGTAGTATGGGCTGTAATATAGTTGTATTGAGAAAACATTGTTTATAAATCGTATTTTTTCCACAGAACAACATGCAAAACGAAGCGCCGAAGAACAACTTCATTACCAGTATCTGAAAAGGCTTGAGCGGCTTCCTGGTCCAAGTGAACTGGGGAAAACTTATACTCAATCGGGCAGAGATCCTCTGTTCCTGAATCATTGGCCATCATCAGCTGAGGGGATTCCAACTGAACTTCTGCACCCCGTGTTTGGACAGTTTCTGGATGATTGCACATCTGCTCAACCGACCATGGATGATGTCCAGTTTGCCATTTCAGTCAGCACCTCAATGCTTGGGTATTATAACTCTGAAGGGGAACGCGCAGACTGCTTGCAGAATTTATTTGCAGATCACTATGACATTGGCCTCAATGGCTCCACAATACGTAATGCAATTACTGATGCCACCTGGTATCCAGACTCAAAGAGCAACTTCATGGCAATAAACATCAAAGTAAAGAATGAGCCAGGATGCAATGGCGACACTTTTATTCAGAATATTGGTTACTACCAGCAATACATCCTTAACCACAAACTCAGAGAAACAACTAGACTCCCTTGCTTCCTTATTTCTGTAGTTGGTATGCATCATATTTTACTTTATGTGCATGACTGCTTGTTGTTAATTCTTACTATCTCTTGGTTGTAGGAACAACCCTCAGCATCTCAAGCATCATCTTCAGAGCAAGGATCACCACTGATGCACACCCCAACACACTCTCCTTTGCCTGCTCTTTGTATAATGCTGAGTATTTTGCTCACATCTTTGGAGCTCTTAAGAATGCCATTGAGATGCTGCGAGAATATTACATGAAAAATATCCCAAAAGTTGAGCCAGAGCAATGACAATTCCCATACCTCAACTCATTTCAGAGTGGCCAAAGTCGTATTTATTTCAAGTATTGCAAGGCTCTGGATTCACATCTTAATCCCCTTATATTTATTGTTGACATTGATGATGTTAAAGATGCACCAGGACTCCCTCAGCAGCTTCTTGTCAAATTCACCCACCATTATGGCATAGAAGCTCACAGGGATTGTGCAAGGCTAGGAATTGCTCCTGAGCTTTTTGGTTTTGAGGATCTTGCAGGTGGCTGGAAAGCTGTCGTGATGGCCTACAAGGGTGATGACTTTAAGACACTATTTGAATGTACATTTGATGAAAAGATCAAGACAGCAGTAAAGGTGGCAGCAGCAGCGATGCATGGAAAAGGATTTGTCCATGGTGATCTCTGTGATGTGAACATTCTGTATTGCTGCCAGCAAACCCATGATAGAGTGGATATTCTTTTCATTGACTGGGATTGGGCTGGCAAAGCAGGAGAAGCTAAGTACCCTCCAACTATGAACCCCAAAATTAATCGACACCAGAATGCAGTGGCCCATCAACCCATATGGAAAGAGCATGATGATTACATGCTAGATATCATGTTCCAAATCCAGCAACTGAATGTTTGATTCAATTGTGAGACATTGATTCCATATGTCAATACATGATAGTGCACTGCAAAGGAATGAGAAAATGATAGCAAAAATAACCAATAAAATGGTATACCCAGTAAATAGTAATACAGTCACACCTCCATAAGTGCATGCTCTTGGGACCTGACATTTGTGTGCACTTAGGGAGGTTACTTTATCCAGCCAAATCCATGCTATATCGCTCAAAGTCTTTTATTTAACAAAAAAAAAAAAGAATATATATGCTACATGTTATAGTTAATGACAAGCACTTCTTTGACAATATTATTAGACAATCGTGATAAATAGTGTCCTATTTGTCATAATAGCCTATGTTATTTGAATAAAAAACACAATGCTAGGAAAGTTATGTGTATTGACTTCGTGCTGTGTGCACTTATAGAACAGCAAATAGAATACCAGAAACTGTTACACAGAATAGCAATTATATTTCATTATCAGAAAGAGATTATACTATCATATTCAAAGTCAGACTACCATTAAGAAAAATATGTATCAATGTTAGTTTGACACATTAAGTTTGCTTTTCTGACCTCAACAAACTTCTCAATATTTTGTAATGAGGTTATATATTTCTCTGCATTGTCCTGTTGTAAAAGAAAAGCACGTACTATTTCCAAGCTAGCGATTGCCGTGCTAGCATTAATAACAGGACTTTCCTCGCTATCATCTATGTCATCTATGTCTGTATCTGCTTGATTGGTATCTGTAAATAGATATACAAGCTCGTGGTCATTGTCAGGAACTTCATAAATAATATTCTCTTCAGGAATATTCAGAAATTCTTCCAAGGGCATTGTATTCGATAGTTTAAGTGCCTGAAGGGTGTTCGAGTAACAAGTCGTCATGCTGAACATTTTCTGATAGATTTCGCAAATCAACAGGAAGGATCTTTGTGTGGTACCAGCAATTATGAATAGTCTCTGTGCTGATCTCACTCCAGGCTTTAACAACAAACTGTATTGCCTGTAAAATATTCATGTGTAAGTCTCCACATGTTGCAGCATCAGGCTCTTTTTTTTTTTTTTAAAAAAAAAGAAGGAATTATTTATAAGAGCATAAGATATATAATACTGTACAGGCATACAACAAGTACCTTACCGTATCTGAAAACGACGATAGTATCTTTTAAAGGTTACTATAACCCCTGCATCCATGGGTTGAATTCGTGAGGTAGTGTTGGGAGGCAGAAAACAAACATCAGTGTATTGTAAAGTAAGACCGGCTAATGAATGACTGGAACAGTTATCGAGGAGTAATAACACTCGTTGGCCTTGATGTTCTGAGCCGACTTGACGGTCGAAATTTTGAATCCATTCTTGGAAATGCAGTGTGATCATCCAAGCTTTGGCATTATGACGGTACATCATTGGAATGTTGTTGATGTTAACATTTTTAAAACAGCGTGGCTTCTGATATTTGCCAATGATAAATGGATCCAACTTGTGCGAACCATCGGCATTTGCACATAATGCGATGGTCAGGCGTTCCTTATTCAATTTACGACCAGCGATACGTCTGGATGCCAGCGTTCGATCAGGCTCTAACCTATAAAGTAGAACGTATAATTAGCATTAAATACAAACAAGTTAAATGTGACAATTAATTTTGACATGAAATATATTTTGTTAACAATCTTATCTCCTGTAAAATAAGCCTGTTTCGTCCATATTATACAGTATATTTTGTTGAGGGAGTAATTAAAAAAGCGTTCTCTTAATGATGGTAAAGCATTAGAAATGGCGTTTTCGTCAGCAGACATAGCTTCTCCTTCAAGTTTTCGCAGGCGAATGCCATTGCGATCCTTGAACTTTTGCAGCCATCCTGATGAAAATTGTAATGCATCTCGAGGAATTTCTAATTCACCAGCAAGTTTTCTGGCCTTTTCAATAAGAATTGCATCACTTAGCACTGTGCGATGTTGATAGTTTAAAACAAATTCCTTAAGCGAGAGCTCAAGTGCAGGATATAATATGCGTTTATGTCTTTTTGCATCTGGACTAACTGGTTCTGCAATAAGTTGTTTTTCTCCTGTCTTTAATATTCGAGAATAGTACTTTCATTAACTCTTAATCCCCATTGTTCTTCAACCCAATTGACATATTCAGTCCATGTCTTTTTATTATTACATGCATAATTACAAAGGAATCACTTTTGAGAATCAGTAAGAGTGGTTCTTTTGAGAGACATTTTTGAGTCAACATTCTAATGCGCGACAACTTTACGACAATTATTTATTATAATATTGTTATGTCATCATAGTTTATTGCTGTTTTCAAAATGGTGCGATCATCACAAAATAAAAAAAAAATTTTTTTTTGCGAAAATAGCGATAATACCTGAAAACAAGCAAATAACGCTGTGAAAACGTCTGCAAGCT